GTGACGAACCAACTGTTTGGAAAAAATCCTGATGCTGGGAAAGATTGAGAGCATGAGGAGAAGAGGGTGACAGAAGATGAGATGGTTGGATGGCATCATCAACTCAATGGACATGAGTTTGAGCAAACTCTGGGAGATAGTGAAGGATGGAGAAGCCTGGTGTGCTGCAGTCCATGCGGTCACAAAGAGCTGGACATGACTTAGCACTTGAACAACAGATAGAAATACCTATTAGAGGAATGGAGGAACACTGGAGAAGAAAGTTCTTAGCCTAGTAACTTTTGTACACAGCATCAGAATACTATAGTTTGATAGAAGGTAGCAGTACTGAGTGACTGTAAAATCACTATAAGAAAAAAAAATTCTGAAAAGACTTGACAATCTCTTGAGTCTGTATCACTCTGGAGAAATGCATTCTTTCACATTTAAATTTCTTTCAGTTATCGTTTTTTATTGATACTTAATCTTAATGTCTGTAGTATCTTGAGAGATATACCTCTATATTAACCTTAATATCTCCATATTAACCTTGTTGTTGTTGTTGTTCAATTGCATAGCCTTAAGTCTGTCTATATTATATGCAAATACCTTACTTCATTTGCATTCACAACTCTGCTAAAATAAATTGATACCTGGAACTATAGAGGTTTTGTTTGTCTTTTGCCATGTCCAGTTCTAAATAAGCAACAAATGAAAGAACCCTACATACCCAGATCTTGACTTGAAAGATATCTTGAAGATTTACAATATGCTAAACTAGGGAAAAATTTGGAAATAATCAGCACAATACATTTGGCTCTCCATTATAATCAGTTTTTCAGCCTGCCTGTCGATAAAACTTTTTCTTTTTCACAATGGTTTACAACTTAAATAATTTAATACAACAGTTGTTATATTTTTATTGCAGGCTGATAAAACTGGAACCATAAGTCTTTTCCATGCACTATATTACAAAAAAAAGTGACACTAGAGAAGGGGAACGGATGATTACTAAAACTGTAATTCAATCTTCAAGTTCTGAAGATGTCATAAAAAAGGCTTCTGCTTTACTTGCACACGGCAGATACTATCAGGATGCCTCAAATGAACTCTCTCTGGGTATTCAGTCTCTCCTTTGGCATTATTTTATATACAATAAAAATAAAAATGGGACTTCACAATGCAAATGCAACTATGATTCAAGCTCAGTAGTTCTTTTGTCAAATAGGATTTTCTTTTATGAAGTTTCATTCTAGAATTAATTTTGATATCAGTGCCTGTCAGGCTGTGGAAATTGAGCTGAACCAAGTGAGTCTATTCCTATTTGAGCTGACATGTAGGAAGCTGTAATTAGGAAAAATGCAGAGTTTGTACTGTGCTATCGAAAATTAAACTCATCATGCCACATATTGTCAAATCTGGTTAAAAGTATAGGTATGATAAATAGCAACATTCTATAAATGCCTAATCATTCATGTATTTAAAAATTTACCACTTTTTCACCCTGACATAATTGGTTGTCAGGAAATAATTTTCAAATTCTAATCATTGCTAAAATCTGAAGTCTGTAAATTAATAACAGATTCCTATAGTGTTTACTATTAACAGTGTTCTACCAAACTTAGGACTCTAGCTTGTAAGGAAATGTATTCCTTATAGAAAAAGATGATGGTTAGTTATTTGTACATTCTTGTCAGCTGTTTTTCTGTGGACTTGTCTGTACTGGCTTCAGCGTAAGACCAAGAAACTTCTAATTCGCCAAACTTCTTAATCCGTCCAACATTCAGTTAATCTATAGATGATGGTGCAAATGAAATTGAATTTCTGGCTATGAAAAATGACACTTTGCCTCTGTATTAAGGCACTGCAGCAATATTTTACAAAATTCGTTTGCAGTCTTCACAGGATAAGAATAAATTAAGTGGAAGAATTGAACTTTCATAGTATGGCTGCTGAAGGATCAACACATGTGGTTGGAAGATGAAATTTCCATTGATTCCCCAGCTTGAGAGAGTGCAGGCAGCACCATGTGAGTTTCTGCATTTTGTCTCTCAGCCAATGCAGCCCTGACCCATTCCACGAGGGGTGAAAGGTCACAAGTGCTATGTGAGTGGTGTTTAATTTTCACCACAACTGAGACTGCTAATCACATAACATTAGGGTGAATTATGGTGATTACTGCAGGCTGAACACAGAGAGATTAAGCAATAACAGCACCACAACCGCAGCTGTGATGGTAGTGATGAAAAGGTGGTGCTTCCATGACCCCATGCTAAAGGGTTTGAGTGGGGTTCGGGAAGCCTCTGGTGAAAGACACTTTGCCCCCTCCAGGCTAAGTTTTTCCTAAACCACCTCTATATTAAGCAGAGTAACAATAACCCATTTTAACAGTTTCTAGTAATGGAAAGGGCTCAAAACATTCTCCTTCAGAATACCCAAGTCTCACTAGTCTACAGAGTAAACATGCACTCCAGAGGCACTGCTTTCTAGAAAGTCTCCACTTTTTAAAGCTGTTAGCTTCTGCACCCTGCATGGATTTTTTTTCTTTAAAAAATTTTTTACTAAGTATAGTTGATTTACAATGTTGCATAAGTTTAAGATGTATAGCAAAGTGAATCAATTATACATATATCCAATCTTCTTTAAGTTATTTTTATTTTTTAATTTTTACTGGGGTATTGTTGATTTACAATGTTGAGTTAGTTTCAGGTGTACAGCCAAGTGAATCTGTTGTATATATATATGTATATATGTGCTCATTTTTAGATTCTTTTCCCGTATAGGTCGTTGCAGGGTATTGAGTAGAGTTCCTTGTGCTCTACAGTAGGTCCTTATTTATGTGTTTTATACAGAGTCATCTACTTTATATAGAATAGTATGTATATGACAATTCCAATCTCCTGATTTATCCCTCCCACCCTTTCTCCCCTGGTAACCATGTTTTCTACATCTGTGACTCTATTTCTGTTTTATGAATAACTTAATTTGTACTATTTTTTTAAGATTCCACATATAAGTGATATCATGTGTGTCTTTCTTTGTCTGACTTCACTCAGTATGACAATCCCTAGGCCCATTCATGTTGCTGCAAATGGCATTATTTGTTCTTTTTAATAGCTGAATAGTATTCCATTATATATGTATGTAGCACATCTTCTTTATCCATTCCACTGTCAATGGATATTTAGGTTGTGTCCACATTCTGGCTATGTAAATAGTGCTGCAATGAACATGGGGTGCACCCTACATGGATTTTTAAGTTGTTTGGTCTCATTTTTTCTTTTCTCCATATGTAGCCCATGTAATGGATTCTATCTTCCTTAGGAAAATTTGAGGAATAATTAAGGAAAAGAGGCTACTACTAGGTGTTTTTTAACTTTAATAAAAATTGCTTAGGTGGGAGGCTGCCTGACTTATGAATCGTTGAATAAAGCCAATTGTATCTTCAAATTTACTGGGTTGAATTTTGTTTTCTAACACATACATATTTTTTCAGTGTAAATATTTTACTTACAACCATACCCTAAATGTCCTTATGTGAAGGTATTGACTCAGACAGTAAAGAATCTGCCTACAATTCAGAAGACCCAGGTTCAATCCCAGGGTTGGGAAGATCCCCTGGAAAAAGGAATGGCAACCCACTCCAGTATTCTTGCCTGGAGAATTTCATGGACAGAGGCTACAGTCCATGGGGTTGCAAAGAGTCAGACACGACTCAGCGGCTAACACTTTCACTTTAAAATAAGAAGTCAAACACTGGATACAGAGTGAAGTGAAGAGCAGCTATGAGAAACCTAGACAGTGTATTAAAAAACAGAAACATCACTTTGCTAACAAAGGTCTGTTTAGTCACAGCTGTGGTTTTTCTAGTAGTCATGTACAGATGTGAGAGTTGGACCATGAAAAAGGCTAAGCGCCAAAGAATTGATGCCTTCAAATTGTGTTGCTGGAGAAGACTCTTGAGAGTCCCTTGGACAGCAAGGAGATCCAACCAGTCAGTCCTAAAGGAAGTCAACCCTGAATGTTCACTGGAAGGACTGATGCTAAAACTGAAACTCCAATACTTTGGCCACCTGATGCAAAGAGCCAACTCATTGGAAAAGACCCTGATGCTGGGAAACTTTGAAGGCATAAGGAGAAGAGGGTAACAGAGGATGAGATGGTTAGATGGCATCACCGACTCAATGGACATGAACTTGAGCAAACTCTGGGAGATAGCAGAAGACAGGGAAGCCTGGAGTGCTGCAGTCTATGGAGTTGCAAAGAGCTAGACACAACTTAGCAACTGAACGATGAGAAGAGCAGCTAATGCCTACAGTTCATTCCTGATGTTTGGATAGTCTGCTTTTCACATATTAGGGCAAAAAAAGATCAGTAATGTGTCCATTTCCACCAAGTTGAAATGTCCTGCATCCGGAGTTGTTTTCTTGAACAAAGGGAAGCAGAGACATCTGGAAGTCAGGAATTGGGAAACTGGGTCATCGTCAGTTCCAAAGTTTACCTTTAGGGTTGATTTCTGATTTTAAGGGAGCACTTATTAACTTAGTTCTTGAAGTATACAAATGGAGATGTAGATTGTTTAAAAAAAAATACACACACATATATATGTTAGCTTCAACCATATTTATAAACTAAAGATAGCTCACTGAATTTTACCAGAAGTCCAAAAGTAGTCCTGGTTGACAAAATAGATGAAAAGGCAGTACATGTATTCTGTGCAAATAATGCTATAAAGCAAAGAGTCTCATATGTTCTAGCTAAGGTAACTGAATAGTTCTTTTTAAAGATTTTTTTTTCTTCTTAAAAGATGATGTAATGATCCCATATGGAGGAAATGAAGGTGGCAAAATCTACAGCAAAATCTGAATCATGAAGAAAAAGTTCAAAACTCTTTGGCGTAGTTCAGTAGAGGCAGCATCAAGTGCTTTTTAAAATACTACGTTGTCAAGCCCAGCTGCTATGAAGTTGGAATGATTCCCAACTACAGCCTAGGTAATTTATCTTGTTTAACAGTAGCTCACCTATTCTGGCTGGTTTGACGTTAGCTTGTTGAGGCAGTTCTGGGTTACAAAGTGCTGGAGCAGAAAGTTCATGTTAAGCTTTCAGCTGATATGAAGATATTTCTATCAGAAAAATATAAATATTAGGCAAATGGCCAATTAAATGCATACATCTTTGATTCTTAAACCACAAGAGATAATGATAATACTCATCATAATAATAACCAAAACTAACATTATTTACTATAGGCGTTGTATTAGGTGCATTGCATGCACTGTCTCATTTATTTGTCATAACATTCAGAAGTTGTCTTTTCTTATTACCTCTATTTTACACATGAATAAATTGAGGCTTTAGTTCAGTCGCTCAGTCATGTCCGACTCTTTGCAACCCCATGCACTGTACTGAAGTTAAATAACCAGGCTTTCTGAATTGGGTGAAAATTTGGACTCTACCAAGTTTCAGAAACATTCTGGGATAAACTGAATCATCCTGCTCTTCTGTGATTATTGGCTCTTAGCAGCATTGTGGCTTTAGGAATCAATATGGTGCATGAGTTCTATAAATGTGCCTCTTAATAAGTTAATAAAACAGATACTCTCATTGCCTCTCCATCAAAGTTTCAGGGAAAAATGAGAATACTAAATGCAGTAGGATAGAGAAGATCTGCTCCATTTGCTCTGCAGTGATAATCTTTTACAAAAGAGGATTTTTATTAATTCTTTGCCTTCTGGGGATATTATAATTTTCTAGAATATAGAACTGCCTTAAGCACAGTAATTTGCTGAGCTAGACTGAATCTCAAAATGTTTCAAATGAGCTGATAAACAACTGCATAATTAGCCATTATTAGATCAAGTCTGTATGTTACTGATATCCAGATGAACAAACCAGTGGATAGGCAAATTATAGATATACTTTTAAAAACTAAGAGCCTGTGTTATATTTTTACATGCTTTGTGACTTGTCCTTTAAAGAATTAAAAACCACATTTCATTTGCTTCTTTTTAAAAGAAGAAATTTAGATTATTCTATCAAGCAAATCCTTAGGGACTTAATCATTAAGCACATATTTCCATGTATGAATAATGAAGGATTTGTGTGTTGAACGCAACTCACGCTTTAAAAGTGAATAGGTGGTGGGATTTTCCTTTTCAATTAAACCTTGCCTCAAATCTATTACTTGCCTGGGTAATGTTCGTTCATCCCCCTTTTGAGTTCTGGTTCAATTTCAGAGTACAAAATACATTTGGTCCCGATTATGAAAATAACAGGTTTTACATGCTCAAACCAGAAGAGGAAAATACAGTAAGTTTTTATGATTAAACACATACACCATATTCAGGTGGCTAGCATCCAGTCCAAAATGTGTCCATGTTATAGTTAAACCTCTCTTTCCTCTCAGTTTTCATTTTTCAAGAACTTGACACTGGATCATAAAATGTTGCTCTGGGCTGGAATTCGTCATGCAGGGTTACAGCCTAGGAGTAAGCTTTTTTTTTTTTTTTTTAATATTAAAATCAACTCAGCAGTTTTGAGGATTGGATAAAGAGAAATTGCAGAAAGCAAAATTTTTAAGCTGGTTTAATTAAACATAATTGTAATTTATGTTCTGAACTCAGGGAACACAAAGCAAAACAGATAAATGTGTTAGATCATCTTTGAACAGAAAGAACTGCAGCAGCAATTCTCCTGAAGAACTCTAAAACTAGCAGGTTGATAGTTAGGTGTCTTCCTGTTTGGGGAGCAGAACAGATAATTTCCGGAGTTTCTTTGCAGACCAGTGATTCTGTGATTATTTCTATCAGTATTACAGATCCCAGTAATAAACTATAAGCTGCCAGTTTAAAACTGCAGTTGGCATAAGGCCATGTGTGAGCCTAGTTGGAGGATGGATTTGTTGCTAAATTTAGAAAAAGCATTTTGACCTTTGATGATTTTAACAGCCTCCAAAATTTTGATGCCTTTCTTATGCTTCCTGTGATCACTGATCCTACATTTGATGTCAACTAATAGGTAAAATTTTATTGTTGTTGGGTTTACATTGTGCTCTTATTAAATACAGTGATTATCTATCCATATTTAGTTTTAGCCATGGATTCCTATTAATGTACCTATATATTTCTTCAACTAGTCCTTTCATTTTGTGAATTGGCATGGAATGGTTATTTGAGTATTTACACAGTTCTACAAGTAGGGTATTTGTAGCCTCAAAGTTAAAGTCGTAAGGCCACCTGGGCTGCAGATCCAGTGAGGAGTGCTACTTTCTTTTAAAGGTGTGTCAGCTAAACTCAAGTCACAATGAGAAATAGAACTTTTGGTTCAAAAGATATCAGCATAATTGCTTTGGTGTTTTTCAAAGGCATTAGAGAAGTTTTCAGCTATTGTAGAATGTTCTGACTTTGTCAGGAACATCTTGCTATTGTGTGTTTGAGAGGAAATCTCATATGTATATAACTATTTGTACTTAACTCATAAAAATGACATGAATATTCTCCTAAGTCCAAGATACCTCATTAGGATTTTATTAACGAGCCTCTTGAAGACACTACAACCCTGAAAAGGAAATTATATTTGGATCAGAATAAATAAAGCTACACACTTATAGATCTGAGTTGATTTAAGACTCTGAAGCAAAGAAAGGGAAGCAGATTTCAAATTTGGAGCAATATTCATCACAGCCCCAGAATAAGAATATTACATGTAATTTGATTATACTATCACAACATGTAATACTACACATATTTTTAGGGTGAAGTAAATATTATTACAGAACTCTGGTTCATTACTGGGCAGCAGTGTAATGCATAAATGAAATAGGTTAGGGAAAATGTTTCACTGAATTTTATTTTAATTCCTTTCTTTTCCTGCATAATTCATCACTGACATTTTTGAAGTAAACGACAGTTTTGCTATTAACAAGAGACACAAAACAGCTTGTCTGACACTTGATTCTTATACAAACTTTGAGATTAAAAAACTATTTTCATAAATGTATTAACTTTAGTGACTATTTGAATATTTGAGCTTCTTACCTAAAAGGATTCTGAAAAGTCTTTATGATGGGTAACGGTTTTATTGTTACATTAAGACACTCAGCAAACTAACTGAAACTACAACTGACAGTACTGTAATCAAAGGAGGAAAAAAGATCCCCAATCATTTAAGTAAGTTATTTCCTTACAAATGTGGACAGAAAACATTGTAAAATAAACTATCTAAGGTTAATAGACCATGATCATAGCTGTAATTTATTTCTGACTTGTATAAGAAAATAAGTAAGAACTACAGGCAAAAGAAAATATGAACCTAAATTCTGATGAACATGTTTCACAGTAGATAATTCTTCAGCTTTTAAGTTTCTGCTATCAAAACAAGAGTTAGTAATTAAGAATAAGAAGCTATGAATCACCAGGAAAAATCACTGGACAGCTCAGAGAGAGAGAACACTCATGCCCATAGACGTCCTGGTCTGGTAAGAATAGAATGTTTGCAAAATATCTGCACCAGCAAATAAGGACTATTAAAGGGTGGATGTGATTTTTGTTTTAATTCGTTTACTAAAATCAGTAGTGGGGGCATTTATTATTTTAAATTAAGCTTTACTGCCATTATACTAACTGCATTAGTTCTATGAAAATATTTCTGTTGAAGTATGGAGTTTGCTCAGAGTTAAAGGTACAATTACCGTTGATCTAGCAACTCCAGTTCTGGGTGTATACACTGAAGAATGGAAGGCTGAGACAGCTACTTGTACACCAGTGTTCATAGCAGTACTATGCATAATAAGCAAAAGGTGAAACAAACCAAATATTTATCAATGGATGAATGGATAAACATATATATAAATTATAAACATATATATATAAATTATATAAGCAGACAAATTATAAAAACAGCTCATGCAGCTCAAAATCAAAAAAGAAACAATCCAATCAAAAAGTGGGCAGAAGACCTAAATAGATATTTCTCCAAAGAAGACGTACATATGACTATGAGACACATGAAAAGATGCTAAACATCACTAATTATCAGAGAAATGTAAATAAATACTACAATGAGGTATCACCTCATACTGGTCAGAATGCTAAGTCACTTCAGTCGTGTCTGACTCTATGCAACCCTGTGGATTGGGGCCCATTGGACTCCTCTGTCCATGGAATTCTCTAGGTAACAACACTGGAGTGGGTTGACGTGCACTCCTCCGGGGGATCTTCCCGACCCAGGGATCAAACCTGCATCTCTTCTGTCTCTTGCATTGGCAGGCTGTTCTTTACCAGTAGTGCCACCTGGGGAGCCATGGTTATCATCAAAAAATCCATAAGAAGTAAACGCTGAAAAGTGTGTGGAGAAGAGAGAACCCTCTTACACTGTTGAGGCGAATGTAAATTGATACATCTACTATGGACAGGAGTATGGAGGTTCCTTGAAAAACTGAAAACAGAACTATCACATGACCCAGCAATCCCATTCCTGGGCATATACCAGAGAAAACCGTCAGAAAGATACATGCACGAGCGTTCAGTGCAGCACTCTTTATAATAGCTGGGCTATGGAAGCAACCTAAATGTCCATCAACAGAGGAATGAATACAAAACATATAGCACATACATGCAATGGAATATTAACCATAAAAGAAATGAATTGTGTCATTTGCAGTGGTGTGGATGGACCTAGAGACTGCCATGAAGAATGAAATCAGAAAGAGAAATATTCACATGTTACCACATCTATGTGGAATCTAGAAAAATGGTATAGATGATCTTATTTGCTAAGCAGAAATAGACATAGAGACATACAGAACAGATGACAAGGTGGAAGGAGGGGTGAGATGAATTGGGAGATATATATCTTCCAATATATATTATGTACAAATACACACCGTATATAAAATACATAGGTAATGTGAACCTGCCACACAGACAAGGAGCTCTACTCTGTGCTCCGTGGTGGTCTAAACGGGAAGGAAATCCCAAACAGAGGCAGTGTGTGTTTATGGACGGCTGACTCACTTTGCTGCACAGCGGTGACTGACACGGCAGTACAGAGCAGTCAGCACTGCTTTCATTATACTCAAATAAAAAAGAATAAAAGAATATGGTATATAAATGCTATGGAATAT